AGAAGGGGGAGGAGGGGGAAGAGCTGCGTGGGGGAGAGGCGGAGAGAAAGAAGGGGAGTTGAAGGTGGGAGTCGGAGAGTGGGGGCTGCGGGAGCCGGGCGTGTGTGTGTGTGCGCGCGCGCGCGTGTGTGCGTGCGTGGTGAGTCGGGGTGTGAGAGACTGGAGAGGGAGGGGTAGGGAGGAGACCAGGATGGGGGGAGGAGGGGAGGACGGCAGGGACAGGGTGGGACGGAGGAGGGAGGCCAGAGATGGGGTAGGAGAGGGTTAGGGGGCACGGCGAACGCACACTCACACCCAGGCCCCAAAGCAGCCACGGGAAACGGGGCGCCGAGGCCCAGATGCTGTATGCACCCCTTCCTCCCCCAGGGCCCAGCCACCCCAGGACCCCCTGGGGCGGGCGGGCGGGCGGGGGCGGGACCGAGGCCCCGCGGCCCTCCCGGCCAGTGTCTGCTGCGACGGCGGCGCGCGGGAGGGGGGAGCGCGGAGCGGGGAGCGCGGAGCGGGGAGCGGGGAGCGCTGCCCCGGCGCCCGCAGTCCCCCGTTCGCCCCACGTCCCAGGTCGTCCGGGTCCGCTCGGGGCCAGCCCAGCGCTCACGGCACGAGTCTCCGCCTCCGGCTGTTCCGTGTTTTCTGGCGCGGCCTCCGCCAGCCCCAGCCGACAGCGCCTTCGCGCAGCGGGGCCCGGCAGCCTCTGGCCCCCTCCCCTCCCCGGGACCCACCCGAGGCGGAAACCAACAGCCCCGAGGGCACTTCACGGAGCGCGCCGCGGCCCCGACGGCACGGCCGCGCGGATAAAAGAGGCGGCCCGCCACCCCGCCGGCCCCCGGCCGAATAATGGGTGCGCAGCAGATTGCCGGGGGCACTGCGAACTCCCAGGGAGGCACACACTCGAGCGCGGTCCCTCCCCGCGCCCCGCGGAAGGCGCAGCCTCGCGGATCCTCCCTTGTTCGCTCTCTTTCATGCACTCCCCTTTTGTGTGGAATTATTTAAACGAGAGATCCAAGGCAGCTTTATGCTAATGTGCCGAACAAAGGCGACGGCCCGCGGGCGGGGGCCCGGAAGGTGCCTGGAGGCCGCACCGGGCCGGGCGGGGCAGCGGGCGGGCGGGCTGCGCGTGTCTCTCGCGTGCCCCTGGGACGGACGCACAGCGACCCCTCATTCCTGCGAACACAAAGCCTCTCCCAGGCTCGGGCCCCGCGCGGGCCCCGCGCTCGCCCCGCGCACTGACTGGCGGGCGGGCGCGGCTGCGGCGCGGCTCAGGCCGGGTGGGCGCGGGGGGCGCGGGGGGCCCGGGGTGGGGGCTTCTGGGAGCCCGGCAGCGGGGTGCCCGGCAGAGCGGGGACCGGGGTGTTGGCGCGGGAGCGCTGCGCACCCCCTCTCGCCCCTCCCGGGGTCACTAAGTGCGCCGCGCAGCGGGACTGCGGACCCTCGCGTCTTCGCCTCTCAGGGGCCCGAGGGCCGCCTGGGCAACTCGACACCCCAGGGGCAATTCCTAGGCCCAAAGTCCCCGCCTGGACACCTATTTTACGTTTGCGCTTTCGAGAAACTCCTCGGAGCTAGACTCTGAGCCGGGTTCCCAGTGAACCCCGCGCGCTCCCCGACGGCTACCTGGGACACTAGTACCAAAAGAAAAGAAAAAAAAAAAAAAAACCAGAGCGCCCGCGGCCTCCAGCCCCGCAGCCGTCCAAGGAAGAACCCGCAGCCCGGTCGGGGTCGGCAACGACGAGAAGCAGAGAGGCTGCCGAAGGTCTGCGAAGCGCGGCCCTGGACCGACCCCGCAGAAGGGGAGGCGTCGCCCGCGGCCTGGGAAGGGCACTTCGCGCTCTCGCCTTGCAGCCCTGTGCTCGCCGACTCCCGCGAAGCTCCTCTGGAGGCCGGCAAAGGAGGGCTCGTAGTTTCCCCCACCCAGCTCCAAGCGGCTCCCACTCGGGATCGCAGCGCGTCAAGGCCGGCCGCCCCGGCGCAACCAGGTGGCGCTTTGCCCTTCCCAGAAGACAAATGTCTCCACCCCAAGTCCCCATCCCTGCAGGCGCGCAGATTTTGAGAAATGAGATCACTCAGAAGACAACGGAAACTTAGGACCAGGTGCAAGGCGGTACTTACTTGCAGGTCGCTGGTGTGTGCGCGCGCCCTCAGCCTAATTCTTGCCCAGTCCTGAGACATCAGATTAGTTTCTGACACTGGCACCTTTCAAGTTTCCATTTATGTTGACCGTACTCGTCTTGAAGTCAGATTTCCTCTTCGCTGGCAAGACTAAAAACCACAAATGAAGCAAAAGATCCACTGAATCTCAGTATCTCAATAGTGTTCAATAGATTCTCTAGGCTTGATTCAGAACCGGTTTGAATTCACTGCATTCAGGCAGGATTTTGCTTTGGGTGTGTTTTTTTGTTTTTGTTTTTGTTTTTGTTTGTTTTGTTTTGTTTTTGCTTTCCCACACCCCCTCCTTTACAATTACGGGTGTTGTTATTTTTAAAGGATTCACAAGGTGACTAACTCCCTGTTATCTGTTCGATGAAAGCAGTGTTACACAGGCAAGACCAAACACCCCTTAGTCAGTTGGGGACGGCGGGCTGAGCCCCCGCCCTATTATTCCACAATCCAGATGGGTTTCGTGATTAGAAAATAAAATTGGCCAAAGCTGTCCCGGAATCTGTCTACTACTTCTAATTTCATCAGCAGTGTTAATCAGTGCTCAAAGGAGCAAGGAAATAACATCAGTTACTTTTAGATTGAAACCTATTTATGAATTTTAGATAAGCTCATTTTAGAATTTCTGACTTTTTTGAGGACTAGCATTCACCACAGTTAGAATTTTTAAAACGAGGGTGAGAGCTTTCAAAATATATTCCATTCTATGTATTCTTCTTTTAGTCTGAGCTCAAAAAGATCACAAGCATAAAATCATCAAACATCTTTCCTTTCGATTAACCGGCTTGATTAACCCTTTGATTAACTAAGCCTAACAAATGTCCTCATTACAACTTATTACTCATACAGATTCTTAAAAAAAACAAAAACAAAAACAAAAACTGCTTAATTTCTCCGCCAGGATATTTTCGGATGGAAAACACAAAAAGAATTAAATACCTTCAGTGGCATTAAGCATAAGCAAACCCAGCACAAGCTTTCCAGGAAAATGTCCGTTTCCTTTTCTCTCAATAAAGTGACATTTTCCTCCCCACATAATGACATTTTCTGCAGCTTTACTATTAGTTCCCTAGTGATGGGTGATCAGGCCCACCACGCACTCTTGGGGTTCCGCCCCGGTCCCCCGGACATCCTGCCTTTTGTGTCTCCTCGGGGCTGGGCTGGGGAGGGACGTGGGCTAGGGCCGGATCTGGGTCCTACGGGGCGGCCGGGTGGTGGGCAGGGGTTGTGAGTGCGCGGATCTGCGCTGTTGTCTTTTCCTGGTGGCCGGGGGAGGCCGCCGCCCGCCTCCGAGGACAGATTGCCCCCGCCTCCCCCGGGCCGGCAGCACGCGTCTCTTTTGCGTCCAGATTGGCCGCGACCGGCGCTCAATAGCGGGAGGTTAATTTCCTTCACAAAGGTGAAGGGGGCACGGCTCCGGGAGGGGGGGTGCGCCCAGACTGGCGGCCCCTTTATTCCGCTGCGCCTTGATTGGAGCCCTTGATTTAGCATCTGATGTCAGCCGGCAGACAAAACGCCCGCTCCGAATGAAAATGCATGAGGCTGCGCGGGGCGAGCGGAAACCAACTTCAGTGCGGCGCACGCGGCCGGCCGCGCGCTCCGGCCTGCGGCCAGCTCCTCCCGGACCAGCCCAGCCGCGCGCCCCGCGGACGCCCACAGCGGCCTCGGCCGGGCTCCGCTAAGGTTGCCCATTCTCGAGCCTCGGAGAACTTAAAAAAAAAAAAAAAGAAAGAAAAGAAAAGTTCAGAAATTCAAGTTCCTTTTGGAGCCCGGCCCAACTTGCCCCCCCCCCCCCCCCCGCGGCCCGCCCCAGCGCTGCGTCCGCCGCGATTCAAGTGCGGTGCCAACTGTCTCCAAACTCCAGATAAACCTTCCAGACGCACGCGGGCGCACCGCGTCCGCCACCACGAACCTCGCGCTGGGCTGCGGCCAGCGAGCCGGATCCTCTACCCAAGTTTGGGACCCCTGGGTCCCGCGGCCCACCCGGCCCAGGCTGCCGGCCGCCTGCGCTTTGCCGCTATTTTCCATTTCTGACGACTTCCCAGACGCCAGGAGGGGTCCCTGCGCCTCCCCGACCCCCTCCCGCCGATCGCCCCCGCGCCTGCTGCTGCCCCCGCGGCCCCCGCCCAGTCAGCGCGCTCAACTCCCCCTCCGCGCCGGCTCGAGGGTTGAACCCTCCTGACATATTTGGGGCCATTCTTCTCCTTTGTTGCTATTTTGCTCGCGACCCGCGGGTAATCCCCGCGCGGGAGGGGGGCGCGCATTGTCGCGCTGACGGACGGGCCCATTTGGCGGCTCCGCGCCCCCCGGAGGAGAGACACAAAGCCCAGGCACGTGCGCCTCCCCATAGAGGAGCAGCCGACCGTGAAGGGAGGCGGGGCCGGGCGTGTGCCTGGGCCGGGCGGGGCGGCGGCGGCGGCGGCGGCGCCGGGCGGGGCGCGCGCGGGGGCCCCGCGCCCTCAGGTACATCTGCCGCACCTACCGGGCGACCCCCGAGTCCCGGCCCCCTTTCTGCCGCCCCGCCGCCCTCCCACCCGGCCGGGCGGAGGCGCTGCGGGCGCGCTGATTGGCTCCGGGGGAAGCGGGAGGCGAGAACAATGGCCCCCTCCCCCCGTTAAAAGGGAGCGGCGCCCGGGCCCGGGGACTGGGACGCGCGTGCAGGGCGCAGAGCCGGGCCGAGCCGGGCCGAGCCGCGCCAGCGCCGCGCGAGTCCCGCAGCCGCCGCGCCCGGGCCATGGGCCGGGGCCACTGAGGGCCACTGAGGGCCGCGGGGGCCGGGGCCGAGCGCCGAGCGCCGAGCGCCGAGGCGGGACCTGGGAGCCAGCGCCTTGCCCTCGCGCCGCGCCAACATGCCCCGCGGCTTCCTGGTGAAGCGCAGCAAGAAGTCCACGCCCGTGTCCTACCGCGTCCGCGGCGGCGAGGACGGCGACCGCGCGCCGCTGCTGTCGCCGGGCTGCGGGGGCGCCCGCGCCTCGCCCCCCGCGCCGAGCCCGGGGCCGGGGCCGGGCCCGCTGCCGCCGCCGCCGCCGCCCGCCGAGCGCGCCCATGCGGCGCTCGCTGCCGCGCTCGCCTGCGCGCCGGGCCCGCCGCCGCCGCCGCCGCCGCCGCCCCCGCCGGGCCCGCGGGCCGCGCACTTCGGCAACCCCGAGGCCGCGCACCCGGCGCCGCTCTACAGCCCCACGCGGCCCGTGAGCCGCGAGCACGAGAAGCACAAGTACTTCGAGCGCAGCTTCAACCTCGGGTCGCCGGTCTCGGCCGAGTCCTTCCCCACGCCCGCAGCCCTGCTCGGCGGCGGCGGCGCGGGCGGCGGCGCGGGCGGCGCGGGCGGCGGCGGCACCGGCGGCACCGGCACCTGCGGCGGCGACCCGCTGCTCTTCGCGCCCGCCGAGCTCAAGATGGGCACGGCGTTCTCCGCGGGCGCCGAAGCGGCTCGCGGCCCCGGGCCCGGCCCGCCGCTGCCCCCCGCCGCCTCCCTGCGGCCCCCGGGCAAGCGGCCCGCGCCCCCCGCCGCCGCCGCCGCCGCCGAGCCGCCCGCCAAGGTGGCCAAGGCCCCGGGCGCCAAGAAGCCCAAAGCCATCCGCAAGCTGCACTTCGAGGACGAGGTGACCACGTCGCCTGTGCTCGGGCTCAAGATCAAGGAGGGCCCGGTGGAGGCGCCGCGGGGCCGGGCGGGGGGCGCCGCGCGGCCGCTGGGCGAGTTCATCTGCCAGCTCTGCAAGGAGGAGTACGCCGACCCGTTCGCGCTGGCGCAGCACAAGTGCTCGCGCATCGTGCGCGTGGAGTACCGCTGCCCCGAGTGCGCCAAGGTCTTCAGCTGCCCGGCCAACCTGGCCTCGCACCGCCGCTGGCACAAACCGCGGCCTGCGCCCGCCGCCGCCCGCGCGTCCGAGCCTGAAGCCGCCGCCAGGGCCGAGGCGCGGGAGGCGACCGGCGGCGGCGGCAGCGACCGCGACACGCCGAGCCCCGGCGGCGTGTCCGAGTCGGGCTCCGAGGACGGGCTCTACGAGTGCCACCACTGCGCCAAGAAGTTCCGCCGCCAGGCCTATCTGCGCAAGCACCTGCTGGCGCATCACCAGGCGCTGCAGGCCAAGGGCGCGCCGCCCGCGCCTCCGGCCGAGGACCTGCTGGCCTTGTACCCGGGGCCCGAGGAGAAGGCACCCCAGGAGGCGGCGGGCGACGGCGAGGCGGCCGGCGTGCTGGGCCTGAGTGCTCCCGCCGAGTGCCACCTGTGCCCGGTGTGCGGGGAGACGTTCCCCAGCAAGGGCGCCCAGGAGCGCCACCTGCGCCTGCTGCACGCCGCCCAGGTGTTCCCCTGCAAGTACTGCCCGGCCACCTTCTACAGCTCGCCCGGTCTCACGCGACACATCAACAAGTGCCACCCGTCGGAGAACAGACAGGTGATCCTCCTGCAGGTGCCCGTGCGCCCGGCCTGCTAGAGCGCGCCCTCCACCCCGCCCCCCCGCCCCCCGCCCCCGAACTGTGCCTTCTCTCGGAGACCCACGAGGAGAGCGCGCCCCGCGCGCCCCGACCCCGCGTCCGCGCCGGGGGCGCGCACCCCCGGTGACGGTGCTGTCTCCGCTTCACCCCGATCCTCTCGTTGTGACTCCTTCTGGACCTCCCGCCGGTCTTGCGTCGTGTCCCCTTTCCCTCCTTGGCGCAACAGGAGCCAATCTCCTTTTGTACAAGAGAGAAAAGCTGTACGCGTGCGTGTGTCTCGTGGTTGGAAGCTGCCCCTTGGAGCCGAGAGCCGTGCTTGCTAGTGTTCGCTGTGTTCATGGTCTAGAAATGCGGTTTGCTCTCGCCCACCCAATCTCTGCTCTCTATGTATGTAGCGTACGGGTTGTTTTGGGTGAATCTTGAGGAATAAATGCCTTTATATTTCACAGGCTGTAAATTGAACTTCCCACACGATTAGCTTTATTATGGCTTGTGAACTGCTGGAGTCTGGCTTTACCTTTTTGTATGTGAACAAATCAAATCGCTTAAAAAAGAGTTTTCTTTAGCATAGCCACAAATGCCTTGAACTGTTGTCTGTTTGGGATTGTTTTTGGGGGGAGGGAAGGGAATTTTCAGAAAATGCTGTAGAAACTGCCTCAATATGTCATATAAGACTTTGGTTTGATCATCTTTGTTGAGGTAGGATTATATGAGTTCTAAATGTATATGTTGATTTATGAGTAATTGTTATTTATTCTTTATTTATTTATATTAATTATGAAGATTATGATATTATTTGATTGCAGATCTTTTTTTTTGTACGCTCCCCCCCCGCCACTCTTGACATTTCACTGTGCATTTTAGAAGACAGCCTTTTTCTAAAGGAATCTGTTAAAAGTTTTAACTTTTATACCTATCTGAGCAAATTACAGACAACCTACCATTTTATTCTGCTCGAAGGGCCCCTGAGGCCCGTGTACAACCGACAGCTCTTACTTTTAAATGCAATCTCTTTTCTACATACATTATTTTCTTAATTGTTAGCTATTTATAGAAAGCTTCAATAGAACTGTTTCAACTGTATAACTATTTACTATTCAAATAAAAGTATTTTCAAAGTCAAAGTAAGATGGATTTATTTTGCTTCAGTAAGGATTTAAAATGATTTCTTAAATGTCTGACTTTTATTTTTTTAAAAAAAAATCCCACCACCTTCACCAGGATCATGGGTTTTAGAGCTGAGCCTGAACCTCTGGGTTCTGCCCTTCTGGTGGTTCAAGGGTGTCGCCTCAAAAAATAGCCAACTGGAGCTGAAGGTGTGTCAGGGACCCTCAGAAATGCAGGGGAAGATGGGTTTAGAATAAAATCTGTGGAGTCTTTTTCGGGGAGATCTACCAAAGTGCCCACAAGAATCTCTCCTTTTGACCAGAGCATGTAGAGACACTGCTTTAACTTAGCGGTCCCTTCATTTCTGGACAATTTGGGGCTCAGTGTAACTGCAATTCCTCAAATAAATAAGGTAGGTGGTCTGGGGTCCTCAAGTATCCACTAGAAAAAAGTAGAAATGATTTCATGGTCAGATTTCCAAAGTAAGGGAAATAAACCGGATCACACACATGTGGATACAACAGGAGTTAAACAACTGGGTTTGGGACAAGGGCTTAAAATTATTTTTCAATCAGGTGAGCAATCTGCTTTTGAGGGAAAAAAAATGGAATACCATCTGTTTGGGGTATTAAATTCAATCACCGTTCATTACGTTGTTTTCTGTTATGTGTCACTCAGCTCTTTGAAGAACAGCTCTGATACTCACCGGTTAATATTTCCACTTGTTTTCCTCCCTTTGAAACAGTCCATCGTGGAGCCCTGCTCAAAGTCCCAAGTGTGTATTTCCTTTTGTGGTGTGTTTTGCTACTTTTTTCCTGAGCCCCCCACTGAATTGAAGCTGTGCCCACCAAAACGATTTCAGAAATCTGTCTGGGAAAGGGCTGCCTGCCTCAAAGGTGTAGAGAGGATGAGGGAGGGAAGGACAGTCCCTGAGAAGCTTGGAAGGAAGGATTGGAAGAGGTCATTTTTCAGATTTCTGAGCCTCAAGTCCCCTTCGAGAGAGGGTTTAGTAAAAGGACTCAGCTGTCAGGAGCACTGAATATTCCTCCCTGTGAGGGCCTTGTGACAGTCTCAGAATGACAATGAAGGAGAAGCCACTGCAGGTGAGTCGCTTCTGGGACAGACGGAACTGTTCCCCTTTATTGTGATGACGAGGTATGTACATTGTCGGTTGGGAAAAATACCGGACGACCGAATCTCAGTGTCTGCACGGTATGAAAGTAGGAGGACAAATGAGTATGACATCCTGGGAACTTCGAAGGAAACAAAACTCAAATCTGCGGGCTGTTGGCTGTCCTCTCTGAGCGACACCAACATTAGAGTTTTTAAATGTCCCCTCTGTGTCACATTGTCCATCAAAAGGTTCCTCATACTGAAGGTCAGGGTATGTTCTCTGCCAACAAAGTTTCCTGGAAGACCTGACGGTTGGCCACACACGACAAATAGAGGCTCATCTACAGGAATGGTCTCTTGTCATCTGTGTTTGGTCCACCGATCTCTCTCTTTTTCATCGTTCCCTGGGTAGTAAGTTCACAGGGGCTCCTGTTCTGGAACACCAAGTGGAAATGTGCTCACCTTCTTTATCAATATGCAAAGGATGCTGTGGATATCCTGTGGATCTGAGGTTGCTCCAAGCTTGGACAACCTTCCCTGGGACCCCTGGGGACGGCCACACACCTCCACTGTTCCCCAGCAGAGGACGGAGGCCCAGAAGGGGGGAGGGCTGGGGAAAAGGATGAGACAGAGCGAGGAGCTCAAAGAGGGGGCCCAATAAAGGAGAGGACTTTCTTTTTGCCAGTGGTCTGCACACTTTTTCTATTCCCACGTGAAGGTGGTATATAATCCAAGCAAAAGTCTGCTCCGGGCTCCCCACTTCTGAGGTGAGCCTGCAGCTTTGCCCCCTGCCCCAGAGTTGAGTGTGTCCTCTTGATTTGCGATTCCCTGGAGGCCTGGAGAAGTCAGGGCTCCTCCAGCCCTCAGGGTCAGAGCAGGCCCTCCCCTCCCCCGCCTCCCCAGAGGCCTCCACTGTGGAGGTCCGTGCTCCTGCATAGCACCTTTGACTGGGCGCTCCCTCTGCCTTCAGAGGGTCCCAGGGCCCACCGCTGCTTCAGGCGGGGATCCCCAGGTCGCACGGGTATGCCGGGGTGACTTGTGAGCACTGGAGGCCAGGCCAGAGGCTCCACAGCTGCCCGATGACCAGCCAGGGGGTCGAATTGAGCCCAGAGCCTGGCAGACTGCCCCGCAGCACGCTGGCCCCTGCGGGGATGTGGGGGGGCCCTGCTGGGCCCTGGCCGTGCCAGGGTCTAGGTGGATGTGGCCTGTGCCAGGCGCTGCCGACCGAGAGGGGCCACCGCTTCCCGTTTGCCCCCGTCGCTCTGCTGCAGCCTCTGCCCCTGCTACCTGCCACCCCCGTCCCACCCCCTGGACCTCCTTCCCCCGCACCCAGCAGGCCTGCCAAGAGTCCTCCTCAGGCCTTGTGAGCAGGCTACGGCAGCATTCTTCAGCCACCAAGCGTCTTTTGCAAAAAGAGAAACGGTCTGAAATGTGCCTCAAGCAAGTCCTGGGCTGTCCTAGTCCCTCGCTCAATGCCGGCCTCTGCCTCCTCATCCTTCAGCCAGAGAGACTGGGGCTCCGCGAGGCCCAGGAGACCCTCGAGGAGGCTGTGAGATGAAAGGCAGCAAAGACCCCAAAGGGAGCAGGCATCCTTAGTCCCGGCGGGAGCGATCCTCACGCAGAGCATGTGCTTTGGTGTTTAGGACTAGTGATGAATCTCTGGTCTGCGGCAGGCAGGCTTTGAGCAAGATGTGCTATCTTCTCGAGGAAGGGACATTTTGGTCTTGTGGACAAAATTTCTAACCCACCCCTAGTATATGGGGTCAGTCAGAATGACATATATACATACAGAGACGTGTCAGCCAGCAGGGTTCTCATGGCACCAGGTTAAGCTAGAGAGGCCTGGATCGTTCTGTGGTCGAAGGTACAAGCTGTGAGGTTTGGAGAAGGTCAAGAGGGAAACTGAGTTGCAGGAAGCCTCCCCCCCCCACCACGGGGGCAAAGAACACCAGTGGGGGAGAGCGAACTGCACAGCACTCCGGGGCTCTGTCCCCCTGATTGCCAAAGACGTACCAGCGCACGCAGCGCAGTGTGGCCGTCTTTAAAGACGCTTAAGATTCTAACCCTACATCAGGGAAACATTGAATTAATGTTTTGGCCATATAACTTGATACCCATTGCCCGAAGATCCCACCCTGCTGAGAAAACCTTCAAATGCATCTTTGAGTTCTATACACCTTATATATTGAAAGAATCCTATTGCTTCTTTATTACCGATCTGCAGTATCAAGCAACCGATAGTCACAGGGAGAGTCTGGGCCACTCCTCACTTCTGGGTTGCAGCACGGGGACCATGCCTACCAGGCATGTGTATCAGCTGCACAAAGAAAGGCTGAGATGTGAGATCTGGTCAGGGGGCCTGCGATTACCCCCACCCAAAGCCCTAGGGAAGGGAACTAGTCCCAAACACCCAGAGTCGGAAGGCCATCCCCTGAGGGATTGCTCAAGGTCCTGGAGCTTCCTCCTGCCCCTTGGAACATTGGTCAGACGACCGAGGCCAGGTATGTCGTCCACGGGAAGAAGGGGTGAAAGAAGACAGCACCTGCCTGCCTGCCCAGTGATTTCCATAAATAGGAAGATCTCCTTTTCACCAGGAAAATTAGGGAACTCTTGCTTCCTTCTGAGGTTGCTAAGGAAACAAATAATTTTCAACCGATCCATCAACATCTTGTCATAGGCAAAATAACCAGCCACAGGTTTTGGGGTCACCAGGGCAATTTCTCCTCAAAAGGATTTTCTGCAGGCAAATGAATCCTATTTCTCTGGACATTCCTTATGA